GTCCCACGTGGGCCGCCTTCACTCCCCTTCCAGGTCTTGCCCACCTGTGTGTCATGCCAGGTTTGGAGTCATAAGGGGAGGGCATGGCAGAACGGGATGACTGACCAGAAAGGGGCATGGAGATCTTTGGAAAAGCCAGCATCTCTGTGTTTTCCATCACCCTTTTCTCTCCCTGTCTTAGAAGAATACCAGAGGTTTATTTTCTTGAGAGAGAAAATAGCAGATCTCTGGGCCGAGGAACACCAGATAAAGTGCAAAGTCACCGCGGTGACCAGGGGCCTTTGGGAAGGTTTCCATAGTGATGCTGAGCTTCCCCGTCCTGTCCCCTCAGTTCCCTGGCAGCACCTATGCCTCGCAGACGGGATCTTCCCCAAAGACACGACCAGCCCCGAGGCCCTGTGAGGTGGCCCAGCAGAGCCCTCCAGGCCCCACCTGCCCTGTGAGCAGATGGCTGGGCCCACCACAGTCTTGAGGACAGCATCCAGCACGAGAGCAAGGTCTGGTTTATACCCGCCACGCTGACCTGACCACGGAAGCAGCCAAGAGAGACAGGCCTCCTGGAGAGAAGAAAGCTGCAGAGGGGACACGGTGTGCTTGTGAAGCCGCAACAAGGCATCTGAAGTATAAAAGAATATTCAAGGAACCACCACCAAACAACAAGAAATTTTAGGAAACATCACTGTAGAAATACAAGAACAGGCTGATAAATCTGAGAATATGTTACAGAAAGTAGAATAAAAAGATGGAAAATAAGATCAAAAATCTTTTTAAAACAGAGCACGAATTCAGGAAGTTCAACACCCAAATGATACTAGTCTCAGAAAGAAGGACTAGAGAAACCGAAGAGAAGAAATAATCCAGGAATAACCCAAGAGAATCCCCAAGGACTGAAGGGCAAGGTCTCTGGAGGCTGCTGAGTGCCCTGCACAGCCCATGAGCACAGGCCCGAGCGGGTCTCTGCAGGTGGCAACAGGCATCAAGGGCAAGACGCTTAGGCCCCGAGAGAGACGGACAGAGGCACACACCTCCATCGCTGCACAAGTCAGTGCAGGGAGAGAGGCCGCATCACTGCAGCCCGGCACCTGGCACCCGGCCCTCGGGAGAGGCCACCAAGCTCCAGCCTATGGAGCAGGAGGTTGGCAGAGGGGCCCAGGCTTGGTGGTCAGGTCATTGCTCACAGGGGTGCCTGTGGCCCAGGAGAAGGAGTCCTGCTGACCAGAGGCTTCCCGGTCCGACCTCCCAATGGAGCTGCCAGTTGGCGGGGAGTGTGAGGCTGCAGAGGCTCCTGCAGGCTGGCCCTGGCCTCCCCAGCCGATCCTGAGACACCCGGTGCTGGCCCAGGAACTCATGGCCTGTGAGCACCAGGGCTGGAGGGCTGCCTCACCTGGCGGCGGCACCTTTCCACCGGGACCACTCGCTGAGGCCCACGGCCCCAGGTCTGAAAGGAGAAGGCATCAGCAGGTCTGACATGCAGGGAGGCTAGTTTTGCCCTCAAGGCCTGGGCTGTGGGTGGGGGCCAGGCTGTCATGGCCCTGTCCAGCGGTGCCCTCGTCTCTGAGATCGCCCAACCGTTCTGGGAGCTCAGGGGGCAGGGCCTGTGTCCTCCTGATTGTAGACTCATGGGTGCACAGAAGACAGGGTGTTCAACAAGGACTTGTTCAATACAAGATTTTTTTAAAAAACGAGTCAGGGTCTAGCACCTGGCCTTCTGGAAGGGGTGTGGGTGGGACCAGGGGGCACAGTGCCTGCCATCCTCGAAGCAGGGGTCCTAGGCCGGTGGAGAGGGTCTGGGGCCGGGCCAAGAGCAGGGGGAGGGGCTGGCAGGTGCGGCAGAGCCACAAGCGACTCTGGGGGACTGAAGTCCACCTGGCCACTGAATGCAGAGACCACACTCAGGATCTGGCTGCCACGTGACAGCAGAAAAGAGAGCACCAGGATCTGTTCCGGGGGAAAGGCCCACAGCGTCTGCGTCCATCTCTGCGCAGGTTCCCCTGGTTTGCTGGTTAAAGAGCAACGTTCCGTGTGTGCACAGTTAACACATCACCTGCATCTCACATCCTCGACCCCACACACTTCACAGGTAACACACCCATCTGCCCACGTCCGTCCCCGTCCCCGAGGACCACGGGCTCCCCGGTCACCAATAGCAGGCTATAAGTGGCCCACTCGTGGGGGGAACAAGAGATTAGGAAGGTGCCTGGGGGGCCTCTAGGGTCCCGTGCCCTCCCCTGCAGGAGGCATGGGAGCAAAGGGGCCAAGGTGCCTCTCATGGGGGGTGGGGGTGGCTGCTACCCTCCGGTGCCCTCCCCACCCGCCCCTCCCAGCTGAAGGGCCACCCTGAGTGGCCCCGTGCAGCTTCCCAGGAAAGCAAAGTATGGCGTGTGACATGGGAAACTGGGGCATGGCACCACTTGGGAACACTTACCATGAAGGGGACGCTGGGAGGAGCAGAGGCACGGGGTACGCAGGGTGAACGGGGCAGTGAACCGGCCGGTAAACTGGGGGGTGAACCATGGGGTTGAACTGGGCGGTGAACTGGGGAGTGAACCAGGGGGTGAACCGTGGGGTTGAACCGGGGAGTGAACCGGGGGGTGAACCGTGGGGTTGAACCAGGGGATGAACTGGGGGGTAAACCGTGGGGTGAACCATGGGGTTGAACTGGGGGGTGAACCGGGGGGTGAACAGCGGGGTGAACCAGGGGGTGAACCATGGGGTGAACTAGGGGTGAACTGGGGGGTAAACCTGGGGGTGAATCGGGGGGTGAACAGTGGGGTGAATGGGGAGGTGAACTGGGGGATGAACCGGGGGGTGAACAGCAGGGTGAACAGGGTGGTGAACCGGGGGGTGAACCGGGGGGTGAACCAGAGGGTGAATGGCGGGTTGAACCATGGGGTGAACCAGAGGGTGAATGGCGGGGTGAACTGGGGGGTAAACCTGGGGGTGAACAGTGGGGTGAATGGGGAGGTGAACTGGGGGATGAACCGGGGGGTGAACAGCAGGGTGAACAGGGTGGTGAACCGGGGGGTGAACCAGAGGGTGAATGGCGGGTTGAACCATGGGGTGAACCGGGGGGTGAACCATGGGGTGAACCAGAGGGTGATTGGCGGGGTGAACTGTGGGGTGAACCAGGGGGTGAACCTGGGGTGAACAGTGTGGTGAACAGTGGGGTGAACGGCAGGGTGAACTGGGGGGTGAACCATGAGTGAACGGTGGGGTGAACCGTGGGGTGAACAGGGAGGTGAACCTGGGGTGAACCAGGGGGTGAACCGGGGGGTCCACCTGCGCCATAGCAGCTGAGGGGCTGGCAGGGCCTCACAGACCTTGTTTCCTAGCCACTGGTCCTGGGAAAGGGCCGGGGTTGGGGGCTCCCCGTGGCTGTGCTCGGCGGACCCTGGAGCCTGCCCAGCAGGGGCCCTCGCCACAGGGCTAAGGAGGAAGCGCACGATGTGCTGTCACGCGCGGTTCCAGCCCTCCCTGGAGCGGCCAGAAACTCAGAGGGCAATGTGCACGTGCCCCGGCAAGTGGTCCACACAATTGTCGACCCAGTTTTGATTAAATAGCCACAAAGGCTCGTCTCCCACAGTTGCTTTCACCAAACAAGACGGTGGGGGCGGGAAGCTCTGATCTTGATATATGAGATATCCCTGATAAAGCCTTTTATTTAGATGTTAAAGATAAATAAAAAGGAATCCACCCAAAGCGTGCCAGCCCATGCAAATGTGAGCGTAGCTGGCCTTGCTCGGCCAACAGCAGACCAGGGCCTGGACGGCACGCCCGCATCCCTCACATGCTGCTGCCTCCCTGCTGACCCCTGGGTCCCCATCCCCGCCTGGCCCACCGCCAAAGCCCCCCACAGACACCGGTTCTCGCAGCACCTCTGCTGTGCTTTGGCAGCCCCATGCTGCTGACATGATTTTATGTGAGTGACATCCTCTCTAACCCCCATTACTCTGTAACATTCAGGAAGACAGACAAGATGCGCCCCTGCTCACCCTGCTTCGTCCTCATGCTCAGCCCAGGGGACACCCACAGCACACGCTCGCATCTGAACAAGTCAGAGGATAACAAAATGGCGACTGCGGAATCGGGGGGGTCCCCAGGGACAGCTATTTATGAGGCCAAGGTCCTGACACGAGACAGGCTCCAGAAACGATGGGAGAAACCTGGAACCTAGAGGGGGGCCCATCGCCTGCACCCACACACTTCCCATGGGGAAATCCACGGCCCACACATCATCTCGCACCCGGTCCTCACAACCCGCAAAGGAGGGCTGCCCGCCCAGCGCAGATGAGCAAACAGCCCCGGGGGGGCACACAGGGCCTGGACAGCTCACGCCCCAACCCCTGGCCATGTCACCAAGCAGCAGGGTGCTCACCCACCCCGTCTCCCCGACCCGCCGAAGCTCCTGAGGATGGGAGACTGGGCGCCCCGTGCCTGGAGGCCGGCGGCAGGCGCTCAGAGCACCCCAGAGCCCAGGCTGCTTGGCCTGCACTCACTTTGCACCCAGAGATTCTGGGGAGATGCCATCTATTTGCCCATCGGCCACTTTTCAGTAACAAACTGAAACAACAGGGCCAACTGGGGGAGCCAAGGGGAGCTGGCAGTAGGCCCTCAGAGCTCCACCGAGGTCTCCCTGAAAACCTCCTCCTTCAGGACCTGCTACCTCTCCCGGCCCAGGAGGTGGGTGGCGTGCTGCGTCAGGACAGGGTTGGGAGGATCGGGAAAGCCTCTGGGGAAACAGGCGTGTTCTGAGCTGGCCGGACACACGGACTGAAGGTGGCCTGGCTGACATTCGGGAAGCACCCTGTGAGCGGCTCTCTTCTGAAACAGGGCCGTTCGTGCCTGGCTCCAGACAAGCCCCTGCTGCTCCCGCACCGACGGCAGAACCCGGCACACCCCTCAGTGCCGGGGGCGCAGAGCCAAGTCTCCGTGAAGAGGACTCCGAGCGGACGGAGCGCGATTCGGGGAGGCAGGCCCGGAGGCCGCAGGTGCTGACGTACCTGAGCGAGCTTGCCTCCTCCCTGGACAGTGGGAAGCTCTGCTCGGCGGCACTGGACTGAGACTGTAGCATCTTCACCTCCATCTCCAGCTGCGAGAAAGCACAGGCGGGTCAGCAGGAGGTGCTGCGGCCGCCCCGCCCCCACGGGCCCCGAGACCGGAGATCCTGCACCTGGCTCCTGGGGGGTGACGCTGCGGGCAGAGCCGCCGTCTCCTGGGCTACCCTGTGTCCCGGGGACCCGGGGCGGCCGGACCTCAGAGCCCGCCAGACACAACCTCCCTCTCAGCACCCATCTCTGGGTGGGCAGCAACAGACACACACGCACTCTGGGGCATGCTGACGGGAAACAGCAAAATCTGGGGAAAGGGGGTCACAGCAGCTGGAAAGAACATAGTCCAAGTTTACCAGTGCTTTGATCTGCTTTAAAGTCATGCTATCTTATTTATTTGCTGCTTTGAATTCCCTTGCAGAATGACAGGTGACACAGATTGCCTGGGAGGGAACGAGGACTGGAGATGTACAGAAGCCGGAGAAGGAGCAGGGAGGGCTTCCTGCCCGTGGTCCACATGCAGGAACAGGGGCAGTGGCGGGGGCCTTCACAGGAGCGAGCCTGCAGTCTGCGTACAGCCCCCAGAACTCCTGCTCCCTGAAAAGCACGCCTCCTTCCCCAACCCCAGCTCCTTGCTCAGGACACCCAAGGCTGTTCCTCAGGGCCCCGTCTGGCAGATGTGGCTCTGCACCCGTCATTCTGACCGGGGTCAGTCTTTCTGACCGCTGTCTGCCCAGTTCTTGGGTCAGAACGGATGCTCGGTGACTGACTGTGCAACAAGACAGGAAAGCAGGGGGGGCGGTGGGCCCCTCACGTGCACCCAGGATGGTCTGCTCTGGAGCAGACATGGGTTTCGAGGCTCCTCTGTGGGAATCTCAGGTGGTGGGGGGCTCTGCGTGCCCCCGAGTTCGCAGCATTCAGCCTGTGTCACGTGAGAGAACAGGAAGGCCGGCAGAGATGGGAGGTGGGCCTTCATCTTTCACAAGGCTTTCCCGCAGGTGCAGCCCTGTGGGTGGTGGGCTCACCACCAAGAACGCAGACCTGTCAGCCTTCGCCACTCCTCATCAAACAAGACCCAGTCCGCGGGGCAGATGTCCCCGAGGGGCTCTGACAAGTCAGTACTTGTTAGAAATGACCTTAGTCGGCTGCAGAAAGCAGCATGGGTGTGAGCTGACCAGTGTCTCAAGCTCCAGAGCCCCACAGAAGCCCCTGAATGGGACAACGACCATGACAGTCTAGTGAGTGCTGCAGGGGGAGCTGATGGGGTGGGGGTGCAGGGCAGACACGAGTCTCCCTACCTCTTTGGGGGGTGGCCTGCACACAGCTCCCATGCGGCCCCTCCCCTCAGCGGCCTATCCTGATGCCCCAAAGGGAGGCCACTCGACCTCCCCACCCGACTGTGCATGCCAGGGGGACAGGTAATTTCAGGAAGAGACCTCCCGCCAAGCCCACCCAAAGGTACAGGCTGGGAATGATGTGTCCAGTCCGGGTCTGCGGACCCGCCTCACTACCCTCTGGGCCTCGCAGCTGAAACCCCTGCCCCTTCACCGGGGCGGCCGAGAGCTCCCAGTCCTGCACCAGCACGTGGACGATGCCGCTGTCCTGAGCTGGGCACCGACGGGGTCTGTGGGAAGGGTGCTGACAGATCAGCACGGCCCGGACTGAGGGAACAGAGTGTGGCTCCATGTATCTGCCTTCCTGGGCCTGAAGGAGCAGCCTTCTTGAAAACGTCCTCTCTAGGCTGTTCCTGGAAAGGTCCTCCTGGGGCAACTTATTTAGGAATTCTTGGGCCCGAGGCATCCAGTCTGTATGAAACCCTGACACTAATCATCGAGGTCCCAAGTGGGACCAGCACATACGTGGGTGACCCCAATCCTGCTGGTCGTGGAGAGCAAGCTCGAGTCGGAGTGGCCTCCGTGGAGTCCCCAGAGGAAAGGAGAGAGTCAGAGCCCCCACACATGCCCGTCCCAGTGCCCACTGGCCATGGTCCCCCTGCACAGGGCAGGCACGAAGCGACCCCGCCGCGGCACCACAACGTGGAACAAGGCCTGCTCATACTCTCGGAGAAGCGGTGTCCACCGTGTCCGGGGCCCTTCCTGCTCCTCCCACACATACACCTCCCTGAACTGGCCAGGCTCCTCACTCCTTTCTGATGCCACCTGGATGCTTATGCAGGAGCTGGTGGTCCCTGTGTCCTCTTCATGGCCACAGCCAAACAGGCCAGTGGACACATGGACCCCGTTGGACCAGGCCGGCTCTCCTGGAAGGACACAGAACCAGCCCGAGCGCAGTCTGGGCTGATCCCTCTCCGTCTCTTGAGCAGGGCAGGCTGCACACCTCACAGCTCCAAGGGCCCGTGCAGCAAAGCTGGTCTGCGGAGCTGCAAGACAGGACGCTCCGCAGGGACGTCACGGTCCCGGCCCAGGCCCGCTCCCCTCCCCCAGGGTGCTGTGACCGCTGTGCAGCCTCAGGATCCGAGGGTCAGACGTGGGACACAAGGCATACACACCCCAGAGGGCTCTGCAAAAGCACCCTGGTCACCCCGGCGCTAGCTGCAGCCACCTGGAGCCGTGCGGCTGTGCGGCTCCAGAAACAGTCTGTGCTTCCGCCCGCAAATAGGAATCGGCTCGTCCCCTAACTTCTCTCTTCATTTACTGTTAGAAAAACGGTAAGACAGCCTCACCTTGTTTGGTACTCTGGTTTTCTCACTCAATCTATTTTGGAGAGATTTCCAAACCAGTTCAGACAGCCTCCCGGGTCATGTCTGTGGCCCCGTGGACTCCCACCTCCCGCTGACCCGTCTCCAGGGACGAAGGTTTGCGCCACTTCCCACCTGACAGCGTGAAGTCAATGCTGCGGCGAGGCCGCTCTTGCATGCGCTGGTCCCCCCGCCGGCCCCCGATGTCCCCATACGAGGATCCCGAGGCGTGACATCCCCGTGCCGACGTCCGACTCCACGCTGTCACCAAGTTCTGCGTCTGCTTCTGACTTCCTCCTCCATCCGCCGTTCTGTCCATGACAGTTCCAGGGTCCTTCCTCTCTCCCACCCCATCCTTCCCCTCAAGCTCCTCAACAAAACAAAAACCGAAACCCTTTCAGAAAATACTGGGATTGGGTTAAATGCTCAGACCAGGGAGTCAGCGTGTGAGCAGGCGGCCGCCTGTCCGACTCACGGGGGCGCCTCGGCCTCGCGCACTGGCCAGGGGCGGCCGGCGGGGACTGAGTACCCTGGTCTGCAGCTCTCAGCGGGCGGGCTCGGCGCATAGTCACGTCCGTTGTGAGAGCGACGGCCCGGGGCTGCCCCCCACACCAGGAACCCCGGACGTCCCGAGCTGCCTGTGGTGTCCCTGGAGTGGAAGCTCATATCGTCCTATTTACGGCACGTCAGTTTTGGGTCGAAAGAGATACACTCTATTATGCTGAGAAATTATCCATATGTTCACATTTTATTAAGACTAATGTTGGATTTTTGTCAAACGCCTTTCAGCAAATATGGAGCACTTGCCCTAAAAACAATCCAGCAGTCCAGCACGGGGGAAACCGTGGGGCGCGGCCTGGGCCGGTGGGCTCCGCGCCCGACCCGTAGGCAGCCTGAGCCCCTGCGCGCACGACGCCCACACGGCACAGTTGTCGCTCACCTCCAAAGAGCCTCCCCCTCCATGCTTTGGTCAGCGCGCACGGCACGCATGGGGTCCGTGTTTGGACGGCCTCACAGATTGCCCCCTAAAACTGCCTCAGCCTGATGCGACTGGTTTCTGCTGCTTCTCTCTGGGGGAGGGCAGGGCGGCCATTGGGCAACACCTGTGTATTTAATCTCTTTAACGTTTCTATCACTTCTAGAGTCAAAGTATTCATTTCATTCAGATCTTTATTTAAGTTGAGCTGTGGTACAACTCACATCTATTCTTTTTAGATTTACTTACGTGTTTGCTCTATTTCCCCTACCGTCGAGGTACGGCTCGCACAGGGTCCAGTGCAGGAGCCCCAGCTCCATGACCATGTGCGTGTCCGCACCTGTGGGGTGCTGCTGAGCAAGACCCGCACGCCCTCCCCACCAAAAACTCTGCTTCTTCTCAGTCCTCACGTGGCGGGGGGGGGTGGTGCATCTACTCAGTTTTCACTGGGACTGTGGGGGATTCATATATTGAACTGGCTTTATTTCAGGCACAGGCACTTGGATTTATTATTTCCACTGTTTTTCACTTTCTTATTAACTTCAGCTTTGATCTTTGCAAATTCCTACTTTTTGCTTGACTAGGGCTTATTTTGTTTTCCTTTCCTGAGTTCCTGAGCAGGGTCTTTAATCTATCTCTATTCACGCTTTCCTGCTCAATAATATAAATATTTAATCTGCAATTTTTCTTCTCAACCCCGCTCTGCTTCCCACAGGCTCTGAGACGTGTTCTCTGGATTCTGTGCATTTCCAGATACCCTTTCTTCTTCGACCCAAGAAATGCTGAAGACGGAGGTTTGGGTTCTGTTTCTTTCTTGTTTTGTTCATAATCTCAAGTTCATCACGTGTCTGCATTAGTTCTACCTGTCTGAGCTCAGGAAGGTTTCCTGTATCACCAATATACGGTGAATTCTGGTGAGCGTTTCCTATGAGCACTTTATTAAAAGAGTCTTCTTTAGTTTTGGGCTTCAGGGCTTTATCTAAAATGGACTGTTCCTTCCATCACTTATTCTTGGCTCACTCGAAATATCATGGGTCACAAACTCTCCTACTGCTGGCATCCTCAAGGACTCCCCCGAATCTCTCCCCATCTCTGCTCTTTCTGAACATCGATGATCTATCTGTAGCCTGTATCTTGTTTACTTTTTTGTGTGAAATGAGTTTGCATCTTTTTGTTCTAGTGGTTGCTTTTATAACTCTTCCCTTGACGTAATACCTGCACTTCTCTGTTTTCGACAGTCCCTGTTTGCCTCCTCCACCAATGTGGGACCCTTCTTACTGTTCACTTTCGACAGCTAAATGTGCTCTCGCTACACGACGTTAACTTCAAATGTTTTAACCTTTAGCTACCATGGCGGGAACACTGCC